TAATCTACTGTCAATCCACTACCTTATCTCAATCTCCAATCTCCTAGTGCAGAGCGCGTGACGTTGTAGCATGTGAAAGCGAATCCCGGGCCCGCATGTGCACCTCTCCCTCCACAACGACATATCCTTCGAATGGAAAAATGGGTACCTGGTGGCTTGGACTGTGGAAGATCGCTGGTGCGATTTGGAATATGGTCCTTGATGTAACTCAGTTCTGGAGAGAGGTGAGTGTTCTTCAATCCCAAGCCGAGTGTCTTGTATGTGGGGAGAGGTCTGAGCCTGAGATGGCAAAGACGAATGACGCACAAGACATAAAACATCGGATGTAATTTCGATCTGAGTTTGAGCTAATAAATGTCAATTAGAAACTATTATCATGGTGGCATTCCAAATCCCCTCGAGATCGACTCTTTCATACGCTAGCCAATGCGCAGAGCTATGAGGAGTGGGAAGAGGCGGCATTTGAGCTTGACGAGCTACAAAGTAAAGATCTATGGTATGAAATCAAACAAAATCAATTGAAATCAGCTCAAAATTCAATATACCGAACACACCATCTAACCACTTACGCAGGCGCCAAAACCCCGTCAGCCGACACTACGACTACCGACTAATTCTCGGCCGACTCGAAGCACTGATGAGCGCGCGTGAGTCAGAAGATATCCTCACGCTAGTGAACCTGCTCCGGTCCGGGCTAGTACGCAATCTGGGCAATATAACCAGCACGAAGCTATTCACGCACGCGTACGCAGGGACCAAGCTTCTAATTGACGACTACATCACGCAAGTAGCGTTGTCAATCCAGTATGTGACAGCCGTGCCAGGAGAACCGATGCATCCGAGCGGGTTCAGCTCGCAAGCGAAGCTGGAGCTACTGCACGATACGCGGCAGGCGTTTGGGCGGACAACGCTGCTGCTGCAGGGCGGGTCTGCGTTCGGGCTGTGTCATCTTGGTGTTGTGAAGGCGCTGCATTTGCAGGGTCTATTGCCACGGATTATTACGGGCACGGCGACTGGGGCGATGATTGCTGCGCTTGTGGGCATTCATTCCGAGGATGAGCTGTTGCCATTGCTTGATGGGGAAGGGATTGATCTTTCTGCTTTCGAGAGGCGGAAAATGGTCAGTGGTGGGAGTGGGGGGAACTCTGATTCGAGTTGGGTTGGGACGTTTTATCGCAGGATGAGGAGGTTGCTGAAGAAGGGGTATTTGTTTGACGTGGGTGTTTTGGAGGAATGTGTTCGGGCTAATGTTGGGGATCTTACGTTTGAAGAGGCATATGCGAGGTCGAAGCGCATCTTGAATATCACTGTTGCAACGACGGGGAAGAATGGGACGCCGAATCTGTTGAATTACTTGACTGCGCCAAACGTGGTATGTATCCCCCTTCTCTTGCCCGTGCTAGTGATATCTAACACCATTCTCAGCTCATCTGGTCCGCTGCTGTAGCATCCAACGCTTCTTCTTCCTCAGGCCTGTACTCACCTGTGACGATCTACTGCAAAGACGAAACAGGCGCAATAATCCCATGGCCACACACACAAGACGCAGTCTTCCGACCCTGGCGACACGTCCACTACAACGAAGGCGAATCCCCCCTCTCACGAATCTCGGAACTCTTCAACGTAAACCACTTCATCGTCTCCCAAGCCCGACCATACCTAGTCCCATTCCTTCGGTCGGAACTGAACCTCCTAGATCGACGTCAAACAGGCTGGCACAACCTCTCCCGCTCGGCGATGCGACTAATCATCGTCGAACTGCGTCACCGACTCAGCCAACTCGACTACCTAGGTATGCTACCCGCTCCACTGAGCAGACTGCTCATCGACGAGACAATCCCCGGACCGAACCTAACACTCGTCCCGGACTTGTGTATTTGGGATTTGAGGAAACTATTCCAGAGTCCGACGAAAGCCCGCGTCTCTGAGTGGGCGCTTAAAGGTGAGAGGGGAGTTTGGCCCGCGATTAGTGCGCTGAAGGTTCGGGAGGCGGTTGAGATTGAGCTTGATAGGGGTTATCAACTTGTTAGGCGGCGTCGACCGAGTGATGCTTCGCTTTCGGTGTCTGTGCCGAAACAGGTTAATGCTATGAATGAGGGAGTTCCTAGGCGTAGGAGGAGTGGAAGTGAGAATGAGGAGGGGACTCTGGCTGATCGAGAATGATGGGCTATATAGTTACTATCAGTAATGGTCTGCATATAAATGGACGATGTATTTTGTACTAGGATGATTTGACTTGGGAAATATACCTACCTAATGCCAGTCAATCCCTCGGGCCAATCAAATGTTGGCGTGGCAGTTGAGCACACCGACCACCCTCAGCCTACAGTCCTCTATATGCAAGAGAATTGACACGAGCATATGACCCATTACCAAAAGACATACATGTGAAACGACCCCGATTGAACAGCTACGACCAGATTTTCGAAAGCCTCCAACCAAACGCGATTGCAGAGTCTATACTGGCGGAAGCCAAAGTCTGTGAGCTGTTACTGCAACATCCACATTCCAACATTGCCATCTACCATGGCTGCCAGGTATCCGGTGACAGAATCACAGGACTTTGCTTTATGAAGTATTCGCGCACCTTGATGGAAGAGGTGAATCCTGGCGCATTGATGAAGAGACAAGCGAGAAGCATGCGGAAAACAACCAAAGACTACAGTGGTGTCCTGGCGGGTGTTGAGCGTGGCATTCGACATCTTCATTCTTTAGGGTTGGTTCATAATGATCTCAACCCTAGTAATATTATGTTTAATGGCGATGAGCTAGTGATTATTGATTTTGGATCTTGTCGGCCTATTGGAGAGAGCATCGAAGGATTGAGTGGGACTTATGAATGGTATGATAAGAAGGTCCAGCTTTCTCTTCCCGAGATTGACTTGAATGCTTTGGAGGAGATTCGGATTTGGCTTGGGGATGACTCGCGGGATTTTCAGTTTGGGCTTTAGTTTCTTTGAATTATGGCGCTTGATTGCGTTCGAATAAGATAAAACTAGTTTGACTCATTTTGTAGCTCAGTTATAAGATATCACTGTATGGTTACTCTGGTATTTGTGTAGCAAGTAGATAGACAGTTATGTGCCTTGAACCAAATAGCTTCCAATTATATAGATATGGCTTTTGAGTCCAGTGGAAATTGTCAAATATGTACAAATAACCGTATATAAGATCAACCGTTTCGCCAGCTCCCAGCCAACAAAACTTACTGTTCTCTGTCCCCAACCCATTTGGTGCCTTTCCCAGTCTCAAAAATATGGCATTTCCTTTCTTCGCCAGAAACTGCAGTAACAGTGCAAGTTAGAACGAGTCTTTTGTCCTCAGGATTGAACCTGGATCTGTGGACGGGACCATCTTTCCGGAAGAACCTAGTGTCCAAGTTAGAAAGAGATAAGACATTAAATCAAATGAAAGATGAACTTGCCTTAAATCAACAACCGCGATTGGTCCAAGTTTCTAGACACAATCTATCAGTAAAGCTGGTTTAAACTTCTTCTTTACTCGTCTGAAAGAGTATCCCCGGGATGTGAAGAGAGGGCAATGTTTTATACCTGTTCAGCTCCTCCACCTGGTGCAGAAAACCTGTTGAAAGCAGCAAACCAACACTCTTCTAGTTCGCTTATATAATAGCCTGTGATACTGCTCGCTGCCGTTTTGACACGCACCCTCTTAGTCTGATCGACAAGAATCCAATCGTCATCCATCGTCCGGGTACTACCTAAAATCCGATTTAGTATAAATAAAGCAAGCAAAGATAACAGTGCAGGATTGCTGGTAATCTTCGTTCTGTCTTGGAATTTAGCTCCTCAACTAAGGGAAGCTGGTTACATTTTCATTGCTGTTCCAACGGGAGATCTCCATCTATCGCATGTAGTAGAATATAATGATATTGTATCATCCTGGGATAATATGAAAGTGGGATCAACACGGTTGACTTCTAGCGGATAAAATCATTGTTCCCACGTAATTTATTTTCTCTAACTGTGTGGTTTATACACTGAATCACCCAGCCAATTTGAGAATGTCTTGGGAATATTCGGACTCAGTAATCAATCGACGCCAATTGAGTTTTGCTTTGTGACGGGGATAAGGCAGCAACATGTTACAATGCCATTGTATTTACGTTGGGGCATACAATTTCAGACCATATCTCGAAGAATCTTTCAGATAAAATGTAGTCTCATCTCAAAACCGAAGGAAAAAGGTGGCAAAGCTCATGTCACAGTTCTAGGGGTCAGAAATGGGTCACACTTCTTTCAAATGCATTATTCTGGAATGAATAAAGAAGTTATTGGGTACCTACTGAGACATTTATATAATGTATCTATATATATATATATATATATAGCCACGGGGGTGCAGGTGAAAGAGCTGACAGAGGGAGTCTGATGATGTAGCATACCGGGAAGTATCATACTGCTCCAGTACTTTGTTAAAACGGGGTTTCTATTCGATGCTAGCAAGCCAAGAAATCTTTCATCAAATCATATGTAACCTTGAGAAGTTCCACCGCTTCGTGTCTTAGATAAAATGATGAAAGAAATGATACCTTGGCTGGAGTGCGTAGGATTATTAGTCATCAAAGCCCTAACTCTTGGAGTACGCTGCCTCTCTTTGTTAGGCCTTTTGAGATAATGAAAACCGCTACCCGTGGACTGTTCTTTCCCCAAGTCTAAGCATACCGACAAACCATGACATCTATTTGGAATGGCCGAGGAGCCTCTTCAGAAGGTCTTTCAAGTTTCCCGTCTCTTTCCCAACAGCGGGCTGGGAAATTATTCCCGCCGATGAAAAACTAGAGGAAGAACAGATGCCAAGCTTTAGGGAGGATAACTACTATTGCATTATCACTATAGGTGACATTTTGCTCTCCCGTATCAGGTTGTTGGCAAAGTCGGATGGGGAACCAGATCTACCATTTGGTTGGTTCGAGATCTCCAGTAAGCCAATGCTTTCTTGCTCATGTAATATGTATCTATTCAGATACTAACCGGAACAGGATGAATGAATATATGACATTGAAAGTTTTCGCTTTCGATATAGTTGGTGACGAAGAATCTGAGCTCTATGACCGAATTAAGCAGGGAAACCAACAGCATCTTGGATGGGAGCGAGTGATAGCGAAGATAAGAAAGTTGAAAATTTCCCAAAATATCGGATGGAAGCACTTGGCCGCTTTGCAAGCGCCTCTGGGGGAGAGCTTGCAAGATCTTCAAAATCTTTCGGTCGGTGAGCGCTTGGATAAGTTCATTATCCAGTCGACGATATATTAGATGTTGTTAGCACTGGACTATCTGCACATAGAATGCAAGATTATTCATATAGGTCTGAGGGTGATCCCGACTCAAATATTTACTAAACGTCACTAATATCTTTTGACAGATATCAAGGGAGACAATATCTTCCAAGAGATTGGGGACAAAACTAGGCTTGACAGATACGTTCAGGCCGAGATTGAGAGCCGTACACCACGAAAGACTGTGTTCCGTTATACCGTCTATCGCTCTAGGCCACTTGAACCAGCATCCCAGTTGGGTAGAATTGAGCTTGGAGATTTCGGCTCCACCGAGCAAGGAGACATCCCACGCACCGGTCAACTTATCCAGCCAGGTCTTTATTGAGCACCCGAGGTGGTGCTGGAAAAAGAGTGGAACTATCCCGTTGATATTTGGAACTTGGGGGTGTAAGTAAGTTATCCTTGATTGTTTCAACCTTGGAAGTCCATTTTCTAATCTACTATGAATTAGGCATGGCGTGAATTTGAGGGCAGTAAAATATGTACTTCCGAAAAAGACGACGATGGTGATTACTCCATCTCTGCACATCTTGCGCAAATCACTGGGTTGCTGAGACCACCACCTCCTGATTTCATAGAGCCTGACACTGTCAGTGCCAAGTATTCTGATAAAGATGGTAGGTGGGATTCCTTTCTTTGATTATCTGACTTTTATTAACTCTCTCTCTTTGACAGGGAATTGGATAGTTGAGGATTGCGAGGTTCATGCGGCCAGTTTTGAAGATTTGGAGAAACATCTTGAAGGGGAAGATAAAGAGATGTTCTTAGACTTGATGAAGGGTATGATTGCATGGCGACCAGAAGACCGAAAGTCCCCCAGGGAATTGATCGAACATCCATGGCTTCAAGGTGTCTTTTGACCACCTGGGTGTTATAAGCCAACTGAATAGTCTCTCCAACCATCTTGCTCGACCTATTTGCTGAATGTTTTTTCTTCTTTTCTTTGTCTCTTATAAAATGGATGTTTGAGCATCCATGTATTTAGTGGTTGTTTTGCTTACATTCACTGTTTTACAGATTAGGTCAGCTATTAGTGCATAGTGGATAGTTATATCGGGGTTTTCTTATTATTTTCCTCTGATCCATGTAATAGGTCCTTTTCTGTTCCTCTGTACTTTGTACATTATAGTTTGATGTCTTTCCCCTTCTACATTGTAACTTATGTAAGCACATTACCAAACTTGGAATAACTAAACCTCGGATAATAATTTTGCCGAATCAGCTCATATTAGGCTCCCGTTCCAGTGGGGCTCCTATAATCCACTCTTATCCTCTGAACTTCATTTCTCGCTTCCATGGCCGGCAGCTCACCAGACTATAAGAAACTATTTCTGGAGGAAATAGAGAGCCGGAAGCAGGCAGAAGAGAGACAGAAGCAGGCAGAGGAGAGACAGAAATAGGCAGAAGAGAGACAGAAACAGGCAGAAGACCAAGGGAGATTGGATAGAGAGCGCAACCGTCAAACGACTTTCGCGGAGTTCATACGACTTTGCCATGACTTATTGTCGCGACCGCTGAGAGTTGCGTTGCCATCTATCTCGACTACAGGGACAATACCCTTTCCAACCGGAAAGTATTGCCCTACGCGACTAGAATTGTGGACAGACTGTTCAGCTCAGTAGCAAAAGATTTACACTTCTGTGTGCAACTATTTCCAGCTAGGCGAGGAGCCCCAGGCACGCTTGTTTACACCGCTGAATGCCATCGAGGAAAACGCGAAACAATTTGGCTACTGGGCGATGAGCAGCGAGAAAGCTGTCGAGAACTACGAGCGAAATGCCGTGGAAAACTATGTGCATAATATAATCGAGGAATTATGCAAGATCGAGGCTGCTCGAAAGGAGATTAGACTTGGGGATGGGATCCAGTTTGAGAATCATACAAACCTACTCGACGCGGATGAGGGTGTCGAAACGACAGATCAGCCATCCAAAATTGAACGCCCTAAAGCCGATTCGTTTTTTTTCATTCATCGAGTCGACGGCGACACTCACACCCTCCTCGCTACAGCCGAATACAAGCCGCCTCACAAGCTTTCTGTGTAAGCCTTTCGCCTAGGCCTTAGGGAAATGGATTTGTACAAAGATCTAGTTAGGTCAAACAAAATCCCCACGGATAAGGAAGAAAAGTTAAAGTACGATGCAAAGCGACTCGTTTGCTCCGCTATTGTTCAAGAATATCATGTGATGATCCAGGAGGGACTCGAGTACTCCTACGTGACGACTGGGATTGCCCGTGTCCTTCTCCGTGTCCCTCGCGACAACCCTAGCACCCTCTACTATCACTTTTGTGATCCCAATCCAGAAGTGGACCCAGAAGCGGAGAATAGGTTCCGAGAACCAAAGACTTCTATTGCCAGAGTGTTATGTTCTATGCTTAATGGCATTCCGTTCATCTATACGCGACCATGAATGGAGGCATCGTGTGCGCCAAAATCTTCTATTATGGGACTCTAACTTGAGCCGCACCAGTTCTAAGATTCCCAAAGAATCACAGCCTCTTCCTAATTCCGATAGTACATATCTGGAGTACACGAGTCCAGAATCTGGTTCGGCCTATGAATCGTCATCATCTCCGCCAGCATCGGCAGCATCTCCGCCGGAAACCCCAGAAGAGGGCCATCGGGTGCCTATTAAAACCCGAGGAACATGTGCACCCTCGGATGATCGACACCGTACGCAGTCGCCAGACTCGTCCGGGTCCAACTCCAACCAAGCAGTGGGACGCAAACGGGGCTTCAGCCAAGTCACATCTTCCCCATCTACTCAACGAGCGGCTCGACAGGAAGATGCTAGGAGATACCAAGACAGTCAATCTCGACGCGATGCACAATTCTGCACCCAGCGGTGTCTCCTCGGGCTGCAAACCGGGGTAATCTAGATGACGGCTGTCCGAACGTAAAGCTTCACCGTCGGGACCAAGATGACCCCAAACATCCCATCACCTCCGAGGATTTAGTACGTTTGCTAAAGGAGCAGCTCGACGACAATATCGACCGATGCATACCGTTCGGACGTTGCGGGTCATATGGCGCACCGTTCAAACTGACTTGCATTGTATATGGCTACACCGTAGTCGGAAAAGGAACCACGTCAAACCTATGGAAACAAGTCTCTAGCGAAGCGCAGGTATATCGAATCCTGCGGAAAGCTCAAGGCTCAGCGGTACCTGTCTTCCTCGGTACAATCGATTTGGCCAAGATCTATTTTCTACACAGGGCGGGAGAGATTCGTCACATGCTAGTCATGGGCTGGGGAGGAGAGAATACCGCGGAGATGGAGATGGAGCCATGGCTGAGCCGGGAAATCCGGAGGTCGACGAAGGAAATCAAGGCGTTGGGCGTTGTACATGATGATCTTCGATATGACAATATCCTTTGGAATCAGGAACTTGGACGAGCGTTGATTATCGACTTTCACCGCGCTACTTTAACTACTCGGCCACTTAAGCGATCATGACCAGAGAAGAGGAAGTTGTCCAGACCAGAGTCGGGAGGTATCAAGCGTTTGCGCTTGAAAGATTGATTTTTATTTGCATAGATACCCATTTGATTTGGTTTATACATGGCTGGGAAAGGCTAGGAAAAAGTTGGATATACTGTTAATATAACGCATACTGCATTTGCTTTGGGAATATCAACGAGAAACCGGGGACTATCTCCTATTCAGTATACAGCAATGGCATAGTCCAATCATATGAAATGCGCTTCAATCAAGAGCATCCGATTCAGGAGGACCCTTATAAGCTATAAATTGTCAGCATAAAAATCTCCCCAAAATAGGTGCACAAACTTACATTTCCTCGCATAAAGCAAAAACCAAGCCCCCGAAATAGCCATAAACCCGACAAACACCACCGAAGCATAATTCATCGACACAGCTGTAACCGGCAAAGCAGTCGGCATACTAAACAACACCAACTCAAACGCAATCCAAGCCAACGCAACAACATTAGCAAACCTCCCAACAACACCCCCACAATTCCACGGTGCCTTAGCAACCTCTTCACGACCATGCCACAGACTCAAAAAGATAGGAATCGCATAAGCCGCCGCGAGCGCAATAACCCCAACAGACACAAACGCGGTAAACGCACTCGTACTTCCAAGATTAATCAACCCCAACAACATCTGAATCCCCGTCAACAAAACCAACGCCCAAACAGGCACACCCCAGCGCTCGTCGACGCGCGCCCACAGTCTCGCCAGCGGTATGGCGTCGTCACGGGCCACGGCCCAGGTTGCGCGTGAGGCGGCGACTGTTATACTAATCGAGCAAAAGACTGTTATCACCAGGACGAGGGAGATGAGGCCGAGACCGCCGGCGGGGGAACCCATTACACGAGCTAGAATGTAAGGAAGGGCTTGGCCTGCTGGTGCATTTATGATATCTTGTAGAGGTGGTAGGGTTGCGCATATTGGGATGATGAAGAATAGACCAGCTGTTCCACCGACGGGGACGGAGAGGGCTATTGCGCGGGGCACTTTTATAGCCGGGTTTGTGCACTCTTCCGCCATTGAAGAGATCATTCCTATTGCGGAGAAGGTGTATGCTGGTGGAAGGAGACCGATGAAGAAAGTGAAGTCACCCCAACCGGCGAAGGATTTGTCGTAGTGGGATAGGGTGTAAGATGGTGAGTGGCGGCCTGTGTCTGCTCTGATGGAGATGGCGATTAAAATGATTATTATTGTGATGAGGGTCCATGTTGCGCAGAGGGTGTCGACTAAAGGAAGGTGATTGTTTGCGCAGATGCAGATTATCAGGGATGTGAGGCAGACTGCGTAGAAGATTAGGAGGAGTTGCCAGCTTGATGCAGACCAGGTTGGGTGGTAGATTGAGATGGTTGCCGAGAGCATGGAGGCGAAGCCGAAGTTTACGGAGAGGGTTATTGTCCAGTTTCCGATTAGCCAGATCCAGGCGTTGATGAAGGAGATGGTTGTTTTCTTTCCGCGGGAGATTTGGAAAGTCCAGTAGTAGGGACCTGCGGAGGTTGGGTAGCGGGATGCGAGCTCGGCGAGGGAGAAGGCAACGCATTGATCGAGGAGACAGACGACTATCCAGCCGACGAAGATTGAGAGGGGACCGCCGCCGTAGATGGCGGAGAGAAGGGCTGAGCCTTCGCCATAGGGGATTGCTGCTATGGCGAGGGTTTGGAAGAGGAGGGTTAGGACTGAGCGGTTGCGACGTAGTTCTTGTTTGTAGCCTAGACGGTCTAGTTCGAGATTCTCGATTGTGCCCTTTTCATGGTCTTGGGGAGGTGAGGGGGTGATTGAGATTTCCTTTTCCAGAGCCATAGTGATGATACCAGGTGGACAAGGACAATCTGTTATAAGGGATGTATTCAAATAGTGAGGTAAATTAGGCCCTCTAAGTTACTGGGGATACGAGGAAAGAGGAATACAGGGTTATATGAAGTACCGAGTCAATGTGTAACCCAATATGCGAGAGGTGCAGCGAATAGCATATGTCTACGCCACCAAAGTAGATATGTAAACAATGCCGAAAGGGGAAGAGTCTCGCATTCTGCAATGATAGGCAAAGATAGAGGTTAAAGTAGGGATATCATCTACCGATCAGATATATATATCATATATAGATATATATAGATATCATATAGAGAAATATATATAGAGATCTACAGAAAGGAGACAAGATAAGAGAAACCTTGACGCCAGGTCTAACCCTAAAAAGTAACATTATCCCGAGGTGAATGTACTCCGCATTGAAGAGGAATATGGAAAATAGTTAGGAAAATATCAAAATGAGGTATCAAAAGAATAGTGTAAAGAGTGAAACCCCCTGAAATCAAACATTATAAACAGTATGGTATACGGGGAAACCTAGAAAAAGAGAAAAAGAAAATTACTGTGCCGTAGAGGGTCGGCCCTGGTGCGACCTGCGCGAGTGCAGACTAAGTCGGTGACCGGTGGAAGGGGGACCCTCGGTAGCCAACAGGGGCGGGATACTAAATCCGTATCCCTCGGTAGCGGCACTACGATCCTGGGGGTCGATCTCGACACGGACGGAAACGTCAAGACCGCCATACATGCCACTTGCACAGGTGAACCCATCGGCGGCACTGTGCGTCGTTCCAGCATCGACTTCGCCCCTGTGTAGTGGTGCGTGGCCGTCCTTGGGGAGATGCTCCAGTTTCACGGAATTGGCTTCGAGGACACCGGTGTTACCGGGACCAGGGGCGACGACCTCGGTGAGAATGGCGTAGTTACGGGAGGGCATGGTGACCTTATTGAACGCGCCGCCCTTCTCCTTACCGCCGGGCTGCTTGTCGAAGAAAGGCATGAGGGTCTCGTCGCAGTCGCGGTCGAGGTGGTGAATTTTGTTTCGGCGGGCGAGGAGATCGGCGACGGCCTTGGGTGGGGGCTTATTTGTGATAGCGCTGCTGACAACGTTGACGATGAAGCGGTGGTCATTTTCACCAGCGAGATTGAGCTTCGGGTTGGAGTAGAAGCGACCGATGGCGGCAAGGTGGACGTCGCCGCCGAGGATAGTTACGCGCACGCTGTGGCTGCGGGCGAATTCTTGCAGGCGGTGGACTAGCATCTTGCGCTCGCGCTTGTGCTGACGTGCGGTGTAGTGATCGTCCAGGTCGTCGAGGAGATCGACTTGGCCGTCGAATTCGTTGAAGAGGCCGCCTGCTACGCCGAAGCGTTTGTTCAGCAGCCGGATCGGCGCAATCAGGGGGGATGTAAGGATGTTTTCGAGCCATGCGAGACGGGGGTATGCGATTGGCACACCTAGCAATACCACCAGGTGCTTGATGTCGCCGTTGGCAGCGACGATCTCATTCTGCAACCGCTCGAAGATCATATCGTAGGTTTCCTCGTAGTTGACCTGGTGGCGGGTGCGCTCTGTGCGCGCATCCAGACCCATAAAGGCAATGCGCTTGCCGAAGCGCATGTAGAGACTTCGGCTGCGCTCTTCCACGTACGGACCGGGCCGTTTGCCGATGATCCAGCTGTCATCCTCGACCTGGTTCTCCAGAACGTAGGTGTTCTCCACTTGACGCGGGTCAACGCCAGAGGTTCCATTGACGGCGTGCATGGTCGGCGGGGAATCGGTAGTGTAAGTCGACTTCGGAGGAGCCATGTGGTGCTGGAAGAGACAGTAATACTTGAAAGCGACACCGCCGATACCGCGGAAGACAGCACACTTCATGAAGTGATCCGTGTATGAGCCGAACCCATCAATGATATCATGATCATCCCAGATATTGACCTGGGGGATGCGGCCATTGGCAGTGCGGAATGGCTCAGTGTTGTACCAGCGGACATAGTTGGCATAGTAGTACTCATCGCAATCAGCGCGCATCTGATTATTAAAGTCATGGTTGCGTCTCTTGTGCGGGTTCGCAATGGCAGTCCAAGGCTTGAGCGGGCCATCCACACGAATACCGTCGTTGTAGATCTGGTCACCGCCGCCGACCATAACGTGGAATGGCTTCTTGTCATGCACGCGCATCACATCGTTCCACAGGTTTGGCCCCACCCAGGCGTTCATGTCCGTGCCGACGGAAAAGCCATTGCACGAGTGGAACATGATGCGCATAGACTGCTCTGCTGCAGGAACGACAAATTCCCACGGTGCCTGGACCTGGGCCCCAGACTCGTTGTACAGACCGGGGATGTCGTACGCCCAGCGCGCCTCAAAGGCCGCCACTGGCACGGTGAGCGAGAATCGCCAGAACGCTTTCAGGGGATCCTCGTAGAGCTTGAGGCCTTCGATTGTTTGGCTTGTTTGGGGGCTGTCGTCGTCGTTCGCTCCGCTATCCACGGCGCCTACCTGGCGCAAGCGCAGCTGTGGCTGTTCCTGGGTTGGCTTTGTGACAATCATGACACTGCCATGCCAGGTAGTCGCAGCTTGGTAGTGCATGTTCTTGAGGTTGATCAGAGGACCGGAAATGAGCTCAAAGCGATCATTCGAGCCGCGCGCGACCTGCTGTCTCGCCTCTCCATTTTGAGGCAACCCTGCGATTGAAAACATGTTTGTTTAGTTCAATTTGCGCAATTCTCAGATCCAGGGATTGCCTCGACATACCGTTGACGGGCTCACTGTACTCGGCCATAATAACAATTGATGTCAAGAAAGATAAGAGCCGTGGACTCGAGTCGCACGGGGTTATTATAACACAATTGACCTGAAGAAGGAATTAGGCAGATGATAGGGCTACAGGGCTGAAAAGGAAAAAAAACAAGAAATGAAGCGAGATTGCAGATCTGTATCTTGGGGGGCCCCCGGCTTGGCAATTAAGGAGGTCGAGCTCAGCTCAGACGAACAGCTCTGACGCTGCCAAGAAATTGCCAAGAACTTCTGGGGGATGGTTGACCAATGATAAATGAGATGATTGCAGCCACGACCCGCTTTAGCCACGTAGCGCCACATAAGTCAATTTGACTATTCCCAATTTGGGTAGAGAGGGTGGCGGTGCATTTTTTTCGGGTTGAGCCGGTTGAGTTGGAATTTGATTTGATTTGATATACAAAAGACTTCATAGGATTTCCTTTTGGGTACTTATACATGTGATATATATATGTACTCCAGATCTTTATGTATCTTAGATTTCTTCCTATCACCCTTAACGGGCCTATCAAACCTTGTTATTTACTGATCCACATCAAAATACTTACGATTGTATAGACCGGAACAATCTTGAAGAAATTATTAATTTGGAAATTAGAGAAAACATGTATTCCCCGATCAAAACATCCCCACGCAGAGAATTCTCTCGCGATCGAGAACAGTGCAGCAGCAAACAACGAACATGGCACTCACCAAGAAGCGGACCCGCAGCTTCGACCACGACCACCGACTCGAGTGGCCTGAAATAACCCTAACTTGACGAGACACCTTGGGCGTTTCTGTGGGCTCAACCTCGCCTCGGGGCACAAGTTTCTTCTGCCCATAGAACAAACCCGAAGCAACAACCTTTTTCAACTGCCTCTGGCGATATTGGTCGATACTATGTCCATCACGAACAGCAAACCAAGAGTCTCGCGAGCCAGCCGCAAGCATTTCCCGTAGTTCATCCTGGAAAGGCATAAAAATCTCCCGAATCTCTTGGGGCTTCTCAGACACGAGCTCGGCGAAGTCATCAATAAACTGCAAGAATTGTACAGTGATAACCATATCCAAGCCAGCTTGGAACGGGTGCGTAGTCAAAGCGTGGTGATGCAGGAGGCCGAGCTCTAGAATCTCAATCTGATGCTGCATGGTATAACGAACAATTGCCAGGAAACGATCGATGGGAATATCAATAACGAGCTGGCCCTCACCCTGGGACCAGACCTTCCAGAGGTCCGCATAATTCTCAATTGGGGACTTGGGCTCGAAGAACCAACCCTGCAAGCAGCGGGACTGTCGATCGAAGCCGAGCACTAAGCTGGCGATGCTGGATTCGTTCTGTGCGTCAGGGACGGGGAGGCTGACAAAGACTACCGTGGGGTTTGTGTGGGCCAAGACGTTGTCGAGAAGCGGCTTGTAGTGTAGGGCCTGTCTGAAGCCGGTGTTCTCTAAGATGTAGCACTCTTTCTCGCGGCGGAGATTGTCGCGGCGATTTTCGACGTGTGTGAGATAGATGTGGTAGTCGATTACGCCCCAAGGATGGCGCATGTAGCGGTTCCCATGAGAGGCAAAAGATGGGTCACTGGGGGTTGTAGGGTTGGAGGTTGAGGGCTTGGGAATCGTGGGCTCGGGATCCTTGGGCTTTGTCTCCTTGAGCATGATAGTCTTGGGCTTGGGATCCTTGGGAGAGGTGATGTTAATAGTCATAAAAGACTTTGCCCATTTTGTGGGACGAATCCGGGCCATCTCATCGGCGAGCTGGGTCAACTGGGGGCTCTGCATGGCTATTAGAAAGTGAAGTCTTGATTGTTTTTGGTTGCGAGAGTAGTGTTTCTTCGGTCGTAGCGGGCGACGAAGGTGTTGATTCGAGACTCACGATGCTTGGGACAATCTACAATGATGGTTGTTTTTGGCCCGAGAAGCTTTTCACAGAGGATAGAGGCAATCTCCTTGATAGAATAATGGATGCTGAAAAGTATGCACAGGAGCAGGATGAAGCTCTTGAGCTCGAGGCGCGAGGAAAGGATTTCGGAGATGAGCGCGACGAAGAACGTTGTACTTTTCTCCTCGTAGATGAAGTAATAGAGGATGTCAAATAGGTAAAAAGCGATCGCTGCTTGAAGAATCTGCACAATGCAATGCACAACCACAAAAGTTATGGATCCAAAACAGAGGACGAACCCAAAGCAGGCGAGAAATAAGATTAAGTCGAGATACGCAGAAACGTCCTGGATGAAGTTAGTATAAGCCATGAAGCTCACAATAGACGGGGCGGCTTACAATGTAGAGGTCGCAGTATGAAGCTGCGCGCGTGGCTAGATAGCCAATTAAATTGTGTGTGTTTACTGTGCTGAGATTGTATGAAATTGATCCTAAATCGTGAAGAGGTGCCCTTTTGTACTTTGGATGATGAGACTCTGGGGAAATAACTATGATCTCTCGATAGAAAGAAAACAAAGGCATGCTAAATATGTTTGTTTGCCCTCGAAGCAAATCTCCTTCGAGATTTGACCATCAAAGATATAAAGAGCATACAAAGGGCATTCGCCGACAAAGTTCTTGTTGGAAGGGTTCCTTTTGTCATTCTATATTGGACTGCATTCAACCCATAATGCTCTTGTTGGTTCTTTATGGCCGAGTATCAAAGAGAAATAACCGATGAAACACGGGAATCAAGCGCACAAAGGCTCGATTCGATATAGGATAGAGAACATAGAATCTCCCATATCAGCCAGATCGACGTTTTATCGATACATTGTATTATAATAAAGCACACGGGACATATCTAGCTCTTTTGTCGAGGAAGAAAGGGTCTCATGTAGACATAGACTTGGCTCGGGGCGTAGACTTGATCAAAGACAGGACAAGGCCATTCTGGCAATAAAGAGACTTTGCTCCCACTCAAATTGTATCTGGATGTTCACAGTATAAAAGATCTGTCTCAGACTCGGCAACTAGAAAATCATCAGCTAGAAAAGCATTCCTTCACCGCGAAAACAACAGAGTCTTTACCCAAGATAGCTCCATAAACAAAGGTCAAGTCTCGTCAAGTCTCGTCAAATCCCCTCAAAACCCCTCTAGACCCATTCAGTTGACCCATCTCAGCAAATATGGGACAACACAGTGTATTCATCGTACCCTCTGAAGATATGAGGGGTGTTGACAATAACACCTGGCTCAATATAGGTACACCTGAGTTCTTGGAGGATCCGGACAACGATGAAGCTCACTGGATCACCGTGATCCTTCCTGCAGAAATGAACGACACCCATACCGATGAAGCTATCATGGCTCATGCGTATCAGGTCATCCGAGACCGACAAGCTGTCGTAAGCGATGTGGCACAGCATAACCTAGGGGTGGTTTGCATCTCGATCCCGGTCCCAGTTGATGCTGCCACGGATGAAATGTGGGTTCGAGCCGAGGTCGATGCGGGAAAGTGGCTCATAGCGATTCGTGATGGGATGGTTACTCTTAACCGGGAGCTGATTTTTCAAGCGTCCCAGGGGCTATTGTGCAGTGGAACCCTAGAGAGAAAGAGATAGTCCACTTGTGAGTGAGAGACTGGTCTCGTGGAATGTGAAGTTATGTGAAGGTACGTATAGGAATAAAAAATGTTTTCAGTCGCAGTGATTTTATTTAAGAATTCAAGTATCTAGTAAATGGAAATGTAGCTGGTAACCAAGTATTGAGTACATGCCCGTAGATATATCCCAGTACCTAGTAATTAACTTGTCTAATAACCTATACACAATTCCTATGTACCAAGTTCCAAGTACCGAGTCTTTTATACCTACCTCTTTTATTTTCCTCTTCCCGGGTTCTATCCGCCCCTTTCGTGGATGTTGGTCGATTCTACACAGAATATATAAGAACAAAGGAAGGAGAAGAGATAAAAAGGGTGAACACCTATTAGGGCACTAGATGGAGATTTCGCTGCTTGGGTCTTAACTCGAGGAGAACAATTCTAGCTGAAAAGGTAGTATGTCGCCTAGATTCAGATTCACCAGGACTCAGTCCCTCCTACGCCCTCTACGGATACATCAAGTCACTTCCCACTCTCTTTATCGCACATGTAGCTTCCCCTGACGTGCTCTTTGAGCCCATTCTTGAAATTTATCTACAGAGATAGCTCTCTGTTTCCCTAGGGAGAGTACTCTGGAGGTATTTCAAGGTTCCTTTCAAAATTCCTGTCTTTTCATATCAATACGGTACGTTCTTCGCTGTGATTAGAAGAAGCTATTGCTAGCAGCTTCGACATTTATTCTCGAACAAGGCCTTTGTTTATTCTTGAATGAATGACTGTTAAAGTCTGTGGCATTAAACAAAGGTCATTGTAGTAATCAATGACTCTGTCAATTTATCTTTTCTTCAAATCCCGGTTTTCTCCATATAAAAAGGCCTCGATCTCCAAGTCCTTCAATCTAACCATCCTCTTTCAATCTTATACAGACAACCTCTAAAGCTCTCACTCACCGACAACATGAGCTTCCCAGGAACTAATATCCCCAACCGACAATCTATCTTTAGGATGCATGGTGCAGGTCCCGAGTTTTATAATGACCCTACAACCGACAACATCAATTGGGTGACTGTGGAACTTCCCTCTAGCCTGAATGACACCCATACTGATCAATTGATCCTAGAGTATGTGATTCTCGAGATTCAGAGTGGGCACGCTACCATTCATCGAGTGGCACAGCATGCGTTTAGGTATGAGTGTATCTCGTTCCCGTTAGATGATCTTCCGGATTCGTATTCCCCGGAGGAAGCCAGGGCTGAAATTATGACCCAAGCTGAGATGCTCGCGACATACTGGCTGATGCAAGTGAATACTGGTAAGGCTTCTCTTGACCGAGCACGCATCTTTTGTATTGGATTTATGGATCCGCATTATGGCGAGGAGACCGAGGAAACTGAGGACTAGTATACAATGGTTATCGAAGGTGTCTAGATGAAATTACTTTCCCACTCAAGTTTTATAGCACCGCATAAGTAGCTATTTTCGCCATTGTGTCTATAAATTTATTATGAACCCTATTTTTTGTCATAAAATATCCTATGTCAAATGTCAGATATGAATACGGTGTATTTGTTCTTACATAGTAGATTCAAAGGGTTTCTACCTTAATGTGAATACTCCTGATTTTAAGATAGAAAATGTAGTGAATTACTACAGAGACCTGCACTTAATACTTAAAAGTGAGTATGGCAACAACCTACTAATTGTACTCTTAGCAATTGAGCAAATAAATAGCAAAATTACACGTAGCGAAAGTTTCCTTCATCCATCACAGATCCAACTTGAAGTTATCTTTGCGCCGACGAACTTTGAGGCTACTCTTTTTTCTTTTTTGGTTAATGGATATATGATGTCCCTTAATTATGAGGGAAGATGAAAATTGCACTTGCCCCTTGCCCCTCCCCCCCCCAAGAAAGAAATGACCCCTTGCTACCTTGCTGATTGTTTTTTAATTCTTACCTGTATCTTTAACACCCGGTGTACAGGTGGTGATGATAAGCTTTGGAGTTTAAGCCCTGAAATTTGACAGTGACAGACGTGCTCAGACGTTGAACACTAGAAGCAGTTGATATTGAAGGGTTGGGTTCTAGCTTAAGTCTACTGCTTTTAGATGATCTCTTGAATCTACTGGTCTCTGTTGACAACTTGTTCTCGTCTCACCCATTTGAATAGAGAGGTTAAAGGGATTTCTTGTAACGGAAAGATGTGAATGCAAAAGGGTTGTTACATGTCCTGCGTTTAAAACCTTAGTTTCCCATTTTCTAAGCCTTGCTGAATTAACTAAGCCTTTGGTTATAGTTAGATGTAGACTTAGCTTTCAAAGCAGAAATGCTTAATAGGTAGATCTAGGCTTTCAATTGTGTTCGTGACAATGAGGTTCTATTTGGCAGTGTAATTCCCAACTCATAGCTCTCACACTACATAGGACAAAGACTATATCTTTACCAAAAACCAAAGCCATTATGGCAATGAAAGAGCTTTGTTATTTCCCATACAATACTCTAGATATATTGCATCTTAGCTGTCACTTTATAAACCCTCGGTGTTCTCGCCTTGAGTTCTATCTCACCGTCATTACCCATAAAAACATTCTTTGATCAATAAAAAGACAACCCTCCAAGGACATACCCCTTCACAGTAACGGTAAGTCCCCCTGTTGAAACCTGCTAGCCAAGATGTCAAGCAAGTTCCAGCCAAGCGTGTACAGAAGTATTAATGGCCAATATTTCGCCGAACCAGATGGTAACCGAACCGACTACTACTGGATCACCGTACATTTCGCCGAAGATGGCGACCACCGCGGCCTTCGAGATTCAGAAGTCATGTTGATTGTAAAGAATATGATTGCAAAAGGCCACTTTACTGTAGATAATCGGGCAAGGCATGGTTTAGGGTACAATTGTCTCTCGATCCCTATCAAGCGCGATCCGGATACACCTCTGCCCAAGTCATTTACGCCTGATCCTACGCACCCAGATCTTCTTCTTGCTCAAAACCTGGCGGAGTATTGGAAAGACCAGATTTTATCCAGGAAGGTTACTCTAGATCAGACAATAGTTTTTGCTGGGATTCGTCGCGAGTTTATACGTTTGGAAGATATGGTGGATGTGGGAGTAGTCCTGATGGATCCCTGGCGTATTTAGATTGACCTTTATTGTGTCGAACTCTTCGAAATGTTTCAGGCTTATTTGGATATTCGAGTAATCAATGCACCACTTTTTGTTTGAATATTCCATTTTTAGAATTTCGTAAGAGTAAAACTTATATAATAGACTTGTCGCTTGATAGTAGAGAGAAATGCAAGGTCGTATGCATGACATGCAAGATACATGTAGTATATAGCATATTGTCGAAACTAGAAATCCAACCGAAGAAGTTTCCAATATTAAAGTTAGAAAGCTAATAGTCCAAGTCTATACCGAGTATTCCGACAATAGTGTGGCATGATTCTTACTAGTCTTCTTCAGGATCTTTTAACTAAAAGCCATTCTTATAATAAGAGGGTAAAGTCTCCTTTGATGGAAGTCAATCCACTCGAAGAGGTAATAAGAACAAAGACAAGCTCTAGACAAGATTAACATAGGATATCGGGTCAAAACAAAGAGTATAGAGAGAATAGTGTACTTGCTAAAAGAACAGAGAGATGTATTATAGTCATGAAAGGACTTTATTCTCTCGTTGTTCCTAATTACCAGAATAGATGTCTTGGCCCTTATATAAACCCTCGGCGTCCTCGTCTCGAGTCTATCTCGCCATCAGCAGCATCACCCAGAAAAGCATTCCCTTACACAAAGCAAAAAAAAAGCAGACTACCAAACATACCACATTTCGACAGAGATATCCATTTACTCCACCTATCACCATGCCCTTTTACCAGGCGAGTGTGTTCCAGTCGAGCCAGCTCGAGCATGGCACTCGATTCCATTTCAGGGACCCCCACAACAGCCAGCTAGGTTGGATCTGGGGTAATGTAGCTCTCCCTGATACCATGAGCATTGCAACCGACGACAGGGAGATTATAGTCCATACACGCGAGACCATCAAGGCTGGCTTGGTTACCTGGACCACTAATGCATTGCACGGCCTGGGGAATATGTGCATCTCCTTTCCGATCAAGATAGAGGTACCTGATCAAGGTGCCGAAATTTTGATGCTTCAGGTTGAGATTGTTGCACTTTGGTATGAGGAACTCATCGCTCAAGGGATTATTTCTATTGACAAGCATATGCTTTTCTTGTCCCGTGAGGGGCCCTCGGAACGTGAGGATCAGTTGTTGGTTGAGCCTGTGCATTGGAATAAGCCCCAGTGCGCGGTTGCGAATCCGTGGTCTGCGCCTCCTGAGGTGCAGGATGAGGTGCAGGATTTGTGATGATAATTGGGGTATTTGATATTTTTTTCCCTATCACGTTTTGGTAGATTGATATATCAGTTCTTTTGAATGGAACAATGAGAGAGAAAAAACATGGCCCAAGTAAATGAGTAGTATGAAGGGCTAGAATTTGCCGCAGTAACGCCAGTATGATACAATTGGAAACCAAAGATAGGGTTACCAGGTCTCTATTGATGAGACTTTAGATCCACCTCGACTGTCTCGCTTTTCTCTCACGCTCCTTCTTTTTCTGCATGAGGGTATATCCGCATCCAGCACCAGTCACATACCCACCTAGATGGGCAGCGTGGTCCATCTTGGTCAGCCGGGAGAGGGGCCAAGCGCGGAATAAGAATGCGGGAGCGAGCAAGCTGAAGACTTCGGTGCCGACTAGACAGGTAAGGAAGACCCAGCCGTAGGTCCAGATCTTCTCTTGGAGTCCCTGGGGAAGAATCCACATGGTGAGTTTGTCACTAAGGAGGGTCAGTATAGATACCACAATAACAACCGGAGAGATGGTGGGAGACAAACTTGAAGTGAGACATGCACCATGCAGCTACGATACCGCTGGTTGCGGCACTGGCTCCAAGGGAGGTCATGCCCAGGCGGCCGAGGATGACGCTGCGTGTTAATGAGAAGACTGATCCCATAATACCGGAAGCGAAGTAGATGGCCAAAAAGTTTCCACGGCCGATTTCATCGTGGACTGTAGAGTGAAAAGTTAGAAACCATATTTTCTGGTGCTTCTACTAGCCACAATGCATACCTCTAGTTCCCATAAGCCCCAGGACCATCATATTAGTTCCAAGATGTCTCCATGTTTGATGACTGAATGTGCTCCCAATCATACCCAGTGAGCTGGGATAGAAGGGAACAATCACGAAGTATCGGTTGAGAAGTCTCCACGCGGGAGGTACGTATTTCCATAGCAAGGTGACTGCTACATTAGCTGCCACAATGGCGCCCACAGTAGCCACAGCAGGAGGCACATCCGGCATGAGGCGGTCCTTCCGTGCCGGGAACTCATATTTCTGAGCAAAGGTATAGCACAGGGCGAGAACCACGACCGAGAACAGAAGCGGAGCGAGCAGACGTTGAGACTGCAAGTTCAGACATGGTTAACAACCAAACAATTCCACAGAGTGAATCATCCTTACATTGGTGATGTTCATCGACTCAGGACTCTCGTTGGTAGCGGCAATATGATGCTTCTGGACCCAAGCGAGATACGGCCTCTCGATAGGATCCGCACGGGGACGAGCTAAAAATGTCAACACCAATACTAATCACCCGAGCTCGAATCCTTGTATACATACCCTCAGTGAGTGCAGCCTCCTGGTATTGCTGCAGGGAAGTGTTCTTCCCAAACTCCCGCTTCAATCGTTCGTGTTCTTCTTTCTCGCCATCAAGCCACTCCTGCCTTTTCCGTTCTTGTTCAGCCAACAAGCGCTTTTCATTCCTCTCGCGAGCCTCTTTCAGAACACTCTTGCCGTAAGGAGAGCCCTCCTCGCCAAGCTCAGCGTCATAAGAACCACTCTGCGGCTTATACAAGCCTAGCTTCTCAGCGCGGCGCACAAGCTTCTCTTCCTCCGCGCGCTCCTCGCGCTCAATGCGGGCGAAAATAGCAGCATCCTCATCGACGGGGTACTCATCGCGGAGCCATTCCAAAGCCGTATCAAACTGCTGCTTGGTGATAGCGCGGGCAATGTCAATTGGTAAGTCCGCATCAAGCGTGCCGGTCAGACGGTGGCCGTGCAGGACGGCCAGGATACGGTTTCCCAGCTTTGCATTGAACTTGGCGGGACCAAAGATGGCTTTGATCTCAGCATCGGTGAAGGGCTTTTGGCGAGGGAGGACCTCCGAGGGATCCGATTTAGGCTTTGGCTTTGGAGAAGCGGCGGATGTACGTTTGAAGCGGCGGGGCGTAGAGACCGGGTTGAATCGGTGAGGGGATATCGGGGTTGGAGTCGGTCGAGACGAACGAGAGAATATTTGGGACAGAAGGCTCGGGATTGGCAACGTAGATTGGCGCGAGATGCTGTACATGCGGCATGGGGTAATGCGGAGATCGCGACTGGCAGGGCGGAATGTTACTGGCAGCACGGAGGTGCGGAGCCCTGGGCATGGAGCCCGCCATACGGCCCAGACCGCATTGCTCATATCCTGTGACTGGAGAGCGAGGGCTCAGAGAGGACCACGGAATATGGGATGGTGGTGGATTGTTCGGATCTTTTTGGTAGCATCATATGGACCGGCTGTAGAGTTGTTCCGAGGCCGCGGTTGCAAGTAAAGCAAGAAGATGGATAGGAATTAGTTGAAGATGCTTTATTCTTTGAATATAGCATTAAATTAAACTGTAGTACCAGGAGTTCTATTCATCTCTAATCCACCAATTCAAATCCAATCTCAACATCTCCCATACACATCTCCCGCCTGATCTATCTGATCTATAAACCCCACGTGATGATAAGACGATAACAATCTAAACAGATCAACCCGCATTGATCCCAACTCTACCTTCAACCCATCACAAAACAAACAGCAAAATGTCAACTGAATCCCTTCCTATAACCCCAGGAGCCTTTGCTGAAGCAATCAAAGAGCTCCCCCTCGCAGTCCTCTACAGCAAAGTCTCCGAGCTCACAAACTCCATCGCACACCTGCACCGCTCAAATGCCGAGCTCCGCGCATTCTTAGCAGAAAGCAACGACTCAGAAGAAGACAAGAAGGAGCTGGAGGGCTATGTTGCTGAAAATGAGGGCGTGGCGGTGTCCATGAATGAGCGGATCTCATTGCTGAAGACCGAGGTCGAGAATCGTGGACAGCCTTGGATTGAGCTTGATGAGCTTAAGATCGACAAGGGACAGGACGCTTCGACAGATGTTCCGGTGACGAATGGAAATGCAACTGAATCTGAGGCCGAGGCTGCGACTGGGGCTGGCGTTGGGGCCGAGACCGGTGCAGGACGGGAGTCCAATGATCGGGAGGATAGGGATGGGGTCTATCTGTGACCAATTTGGTGGGTCATCTACGCGCAGCCGGCTTCTTTAAGCTGGCTTGAACTTCCCAAAACTTCAAAATCGTCATCATCAGTGCATCTGCTCTCGGTCACTGTGGTTTGTGGGCGCTTTACTGCATTTGCGTGTGGGTCGAAGATCGACCTATCTCAATTGGTTATGTTTCACAGCATCTATATTTCACAGTACGATGTACACACCTGAATCATAGCAGCCAAGAGACGGTCATCCCGACAAATAACTACCTCCCAAGCCTTAGGGACTACTCACGTCTTCTGCAGCGCTACGCACACTCGAGTCACCAGGTCCAGACAAAATGGAATGTATCTAGTGGATCATTTACGACTCCAAGTCTTTATGTATTATGGAATTATGATCAGATGAATGTATTGCAATGAGTAGATAAAAAAACATGCAATGACCAGCTGATGCTGGATGAGAATATGCAAGATCATCAAGTAGAATAATTCACAGCGCATGCTAAATGCTCAATCAAAGCCCCGGCTCTGTGTCATATCATCACAAATTCGCCCATTTTTGTTTTAAATGGCAGAAGGAGAAAGCAGAATACGAGCAAAGTAAGACAGCGCGGCCCAACGCCAGGTTAGCGGACATGTCATGGTCGTCAATGTAAAAACAAAAAGGTGCAACTCCAGACCCGTGGAGCTTAAGTGGCGGCCTGCTGGGCCCAGTGGCCGCCGTTAAGTGCCTCTGGGGGGACCCGCTGTTGCTTAATGAACAACTCAATCAAGGGCTGCATGGGCTCCATCTCCTTATCGGACACAAGCCCGTAGTACTTGGAGACAGTCACGAAGTGAACGAAGCACATGTTCAGGACATCGTGCTTGTTAATGTGCCAAAAGGGGTTGAGCCAATGAGCATGGTACAAATGGGCGTAGCAGCGAAACATCTGCTTCATGATACCCTGGCAGTCCTTATAAAAGGTTGGTGGGAAGCCACTGGACTTGCCGATCCAGTCATCGGGGTTGGCGGGATCGGAGGGAGTTGTTGATGCGCCATTGGCCTCTTTGATGGCAGATGTCTCGGGTGTGCCGTTGACTTTTTCGGTAGGGAACATAACAGGGTCGTGAATCTTGCTGACGATCCATTTCTCGACGCGGTTGATGAACTTCGGGGCGGAGATTTTGGCGGCGCGGCCGTCAACAAGCCAAGTATAGGTCAGCCTTTGGAATCGTTAGCTCAGTTCATAGTTTACCCCGCCATATCCACATACCGTCCAGCGGACATTGTTGGACAAGTATTTTCATTGCAAATAGGTAGCCCAGTCACACTGTTAACCTCCTGGATAACCTGGAGCATGCCGTGGAGTAGACGATATTGTTCAACAACTGAAGTAGAAACACATTAGCCTCCCCGCTCCCCCAAGATAAGCTTCCGCATTGCTTACTCTGGTGAGCCAGCCACTCGCCCAGCTCCACATTCTTCGGGCAAGCACAGAGCGTCAAGAAGTTGCCCCTCACATTCAGTGGGGCATACTTCTCCTGGAAGAAGTACTTGGGTCCTTCGGGGTCGTTCGCTTGAGTCTCCACTGACAGACTGCTGGAAATCGAGGGCGAATTCGACATAGTGGCTTGATGCTGAGGAGTAGAGGACTGTGCTGGGCTTTTAGGGGGATTGTTGCTCTTGTTATTTCCTCCCCGGCCAAATCCTTGGCGACTGTATTCAAAAATAGAGTTAGCGGGCGATCGTGGCAAGGTATAGCTGCTTAAGAACAAGGTGGGAATATATGAAAGAAGCAAGGGTAGATATGAACAACAAAGAGGAGGCCAGGGCATATATTAGACTTTGGGAAATGGAATGCTCCTTTGTATTTGTGGCGCCGGGGGGTTCTTCGTGCAGTATGAGGGGGTAAATGTAGAAGGGAGATTGAACGGATTGCAACAAGTCCACAATAGTGCAACATCACTTACACGCTCTGGAAGAAGGTCGCCATCTTCAAATTGATCTGCGATGCTTCAAATTAAGAAAATAACGGGGATGAGGGACGAGACGGTGAGATGCCCACACGTTGAGGATCCCCTTTTGGTCTGGGCCATCGAGACACTAGTCCTGTTTGGGTTCGGAATCGGAGAATTTATATCCCCGCGCGTCAATTGAATTATGGGAGCTCCGACGTGAATGGCCGATAGAACAATTGTCAATACATTACTGACGATATATCGCATCGCTCACTCCCAATATAATATAAAGAACACCTTCAATCCTTTCTTTATCGCCACTCCCATCTTCATACATCTACGGACTTGCAACATAAATTCCATACACCATGTCCTCCGATGAGGAGGGCGTCCGACGCCCCAGCAATGGCAATGAGAGCCCTGCGCACAGCAATGCCAATGATTCTGTCGCCGACCAAATGGATGAAGGCGATGATCTTTTCGGGTCGGATGGAGAGGGTGGACTCGATGATATTGAGTATGTAAACCGCTCCAGAGCGACAAGATCTAAATGCTAATATATTGCTAGACCCCACCGCGACCTAGACGATGAACAACTTGACTCCGGTGACGATGAGCACCGTTATGATCGGCGCGAAGACCGAATGGACGATGTGGCTCAGGAGCGGGAGGAACTCAATGTTATTGACCAAGACCTTGCTCGGGCGCCAATGCCATTGACCAACGATGGAGAGGTAGGAGGAGCTTTTACCCCGAGACCTTTGACATTGACCTAACTTCTAGTCACAGGTTTACACAATGCGTGTGCCGGATTTCCTCTCAATCGAAGGAGAAGAATTCAATCCTGAGACTTACGTCCCACCACCTTACCAGACCGCTGCTACCTCCCTATGCTGGCGTAAGGATCCCGCAGATGGGTCTCTTTTGCAGTCCAATGCCCGTATGATCAAATGGGAGGATGGCTCCATTACCCTTCAACTCGCCTCCGCCCCCCTTGAGCAATACCGCATCGCATCCAAACCCCTCGCACCTCTCACCAAGTCCGGCGAATATGACCACAAGCTGGACTCCCACGTTTATCTCGCAGCTGGACTGGAAACAGCTCAAGTTTTCCGATTGAGCTCACATGTCACCCAAGGTCTGACTATTCTCCCAACTACCTTGGAGACGGACGATGCCGTTCAGCGACTGCAAGAACAACTGGCTGCTGCTGCTCGTGGTAGCAAGCAGACCGCAGCTGGCACTGCACCGCGCTATGAACTAACAGAGGATCCCGAGTTGGCTGGTAGACGTGCCGAAATGATGGAAAAGGAAGCTATCAAGGCCGAGCGTCGTCGCCAGCAACTTGCTGATCGCGAGGCCGACCGCGGTCGCCGTCATGGCGCCAGTCGTACTGGTCTTAGCGGCCTTAGTGTCGGTGGTCTTGAAGATGGTGGTTTGCTTACGACTCGTCCGCGTGCCAAGCCTCGCCGCCAAAACCGTCGCGGTGAGATCTACACCGACGACGAAGAGGACTACTCTCGTGGTGCCCGTAACAGAGAAGACGAGTATGACGAGGATGATGGATTCTTGGTTGGCAGCGACGAGGAGCTTGAGGAAGAAGCCGAAGATGACGAAGAGGAGCTGGAAGATGAAGACATGGACGCTGAAGGTGAAGATGACGTGGAGGCTGCACCTGCGAAAGCTGCCCGTAGCAAGCCAGAGCCTCAAGCCAGGGCTGGTACACCTCCTGCCCGAAAGAAGAACCGCTACGTGGTGGACGATGAGGACGATGAGTGAGCTTGTAGCAATCCACTTCTCTCGCAGGTTCTTTTTCTTTTCGCGCTTTCGATGCAGTTTTCTTGTTACATATCCACATGGTCCGGCGTCATCTACATGGACAGGCATTCGAGGGACACTGGGGCTCATTTCACTCTGACTTGATGCTTGTACAACAAAAATTAATGAAATGTTCAATGACATATCTAGCTTCGTACCAGCGAAGCAATGTAGATTTGTATCGTATCTAATGCCAAATGGTATATAATAATAACTCCTGATCTCGGACATATTCAACGTGTAGAAACCAGATAACCGAACCCTTAATTAACCAAACTTTTCATACATGATGTGCACCCGTAGACGATTCGTTGCCCGCAGTGACCGGCACAACACCCTCGGGATATTCAGAAGGATCAAAGTTGAATCTTGCGATCACTTCCCTGGAACTTCCAACCACACGAAGACATAAAAACTTAGTTTCGTCGGGCTCATCCTTATCTTGTGACTGACGTGGGTCCGAGAAGGAGGACATTGTATCCCACTGTCCAAGTGGATTTTGTCTAAGTGGATGTTGCCCAGGTTCATGCCAGCGGCGTTGCCGATCCTCGAGTTCTCCAATCATGGACAGCAGATCTGGCTGCTCAGAACAAGCGATAATAGCACCTGGCTCAACGGGGCCACCAATGACAGCGCGACGGACAACCTGATGGAGCCATGATTTCCAAACTTGTGCTGGGTCAGGGCTTTGATGCACCTCAGACACGAAGTGTGGAGGCGCGGTCTGCATCCCCAAGTCCATAGCATCGGCTTGCGAGACGCGTAGCCACGAGTCCGCGACAACTGTTAATAGAGTCCCTAGGAACATGATATTTTGAAACCCCGTAGAGAAGGCCTTGGGACAAACTTGGCAGCGGATCACGTCTCGCGCTGTTCGTGCAGCGATATATAGCGAGCATAGTGTGTGGGAGTTGATGGGGAAAGAGGAGATTGATGTCATGTGGCTAAGGCTTAGGTAGAGATATGACAGACACGTGCACCCAGGTGTTACGGAGTCGGAGGAAACGGAGGTGGCAGGAGAGAGCGGGAGCGTGGATGGGAAAGTTGGAGGGTTAGGGAATGGCAGTGGCATTGACATTGGCATAGCCGTGGCTTCAGAGACGGCCGAGAAATCAGGCCAAGGAGAAGACGATGGGAAAACAGGAATATTTGGCTGTTTCAGACGGTCTGGCTTCCAGGTATGGTTGTGGTCATCATATCCTGACAATAGATCTGCGGGCTGGGACTGTGGCAAATTCATGTTTGTACCAGGCCGCC